CCCCAAACCCCCAAAACCCCAAAACCCCAAAACCCCTTCAGACATCAACATTATTGAAAATAAAACATAAAGATCTTCAAGATGAAACCTTGATTCACCAAACTGTGCACTGCTCAAAGACAAGTGTTCTGCCAGGACCACAAAGCCATTCTGTGTTATGGCTGCAAAGACAAGCTTCACACTAAATGACAAGTCGATGAGATTGTGGATCCAGACAGAGTTCAAGCTAACATCACTCACTTGGACAGGGTGCTTGAGACCATGGGTGGAGACCAGACCAACTTCAACATTGGAATGCATATCAGAGACATGGAAGAGTTCATTCACACACAAAAATCTAAAATTGCTTCCATTCAAACCAAATTTGATGAGTCATTCAAGCAAGACAGGTTTCTGGAATACAAAACTCTTCTCGAAGAAGTTCTTGGAGTCAGTACAGAGATAAAAGAAAATGAAGTGTTCCAGGAGTATTGTAGTTTCCTGGTCAACTTCAATGTAGCACATAAACTTGATCTAGATCAAGAAACGAAACAGGATGAAGTATTCGCAGATGCCGAGAAATCTCAAACTTGTGAAAATAGTTTGGAGACCACTCAAGCATACTTGGATGAATTTGCCAACAAAGAGGATCTTGAGAAACTGTATGAAAGAGTGATGGAGTGTGACCTTCAATCAAAGAAACTTGAAGAACTAAAGATCGATCTGAGCATCGATAAAGAAATTGAAATGATGGATGAGATCCTAAAATCCAATACTGAAATCAAGAACCTAGAAAAACTGACATTGACAAATTGTGACAAAAATATTGAGAATGTGATAAAGTTTCTAAATCTTCCATTATTTTCAAATATTAAAACACTCAAACTAGATTGAGATGAGAAGTGTTCATGGCTTTATTGAAAAATAAAGCCTGTTTTGCCAGCTCTAGCATCAGCAGTTGAGTCAATGAATATCAAAGAAGTTAATTTAGAGGTTTGGAAGTTTGAGGCAAATGATTTAGCAAACTTTATAAACACTTGCTCAACTTGTGAAGTAATCTCAATCAAATCTACAAATTTCGGTATTACAAATCAATCTCTATTCGAAAAAGCAGCAAAATCCCACATAAAGACTCTAAAATTAAGTGGATATGGTAACCGAAGTTTTCTACCCGGAAATGATGAATCAATTCTGAAGATAATTCAAGGATCAGCACTGAAAGACTCACTGCAAGAAATACAGTTAGGCAAGTTCTGTTCCCAGAGATCATTCCAAATGGCACTTAGAATGACAAGAATGGGGCTGGGACATATTAAAGTGACTGCTATAAGCGATTAATTTGATAATTTTCTTGCATTTTTGATAAAAATTATACACTTATTTAAAATGTTTACTTGGCAATTTTCCATAATAAATATTAGAGATATACAACTTTTAAACATATGTTAAATATAATTCCGAAAGTAAAAAGTCATTAAGTTTCAATATAAAGAAGAAACTTGAAGAATTTATACAGAATTTCTATTATTTAATGCTCAGAGATCAATAAATAAAGATTTACTTTAAGAGATAAGGAGAATAATAAGTTTTATGATATTTTTGAAGACCATTTGGGAAAAGACTTCATGTTCAGGCAAATTAGCTTCATTTTATTCATATTCAAAGTATCTTATTATAATTTGAAGAATGTGTGATCATTAACAATACGTAGTTTACCAAACTCTCGTAGATTAAGTTAAACTGGCCTTACACTTCTGCAGAGGTTGCTTATAAAAAATGACAGAAATCAGTGTTAATAAATATCTCAAAGCCTCACTCGGGGAGGAGACACATAGATATCAAACCAATAAGTCATCGATTAAATTTTAAAGTCCTGTAAACCGTTTTATTGGGATAAAGAGTTGAAGTTTACTATCCCACTGGAAATAAATCATTAGTTAATATCAGTGAGAGGCCCCTCTTGGGTATATTAAAAAGTTACAGGGATGATCCAATGCTTGTATGTTTTCAGGAGAAGCTTGGAATGTTCATTAAAGCAGTTAAAAGTATAAATATTAGTCTACCATCGTCAACAGTCAAAATGCTTATCGGGGTTTTGGGGTTTTGGGGTTTTGGGG